GTGTGTGTGTGTGTGTGTGTGTGTGTGTAACAAAAGCCATTAATGCTCGGATGAAACACAAATCCTTCATGTGTGTCTAAAAAAATCTGGATTTACCTGTTCTGCTAGCTTCTGAGCTAATACGGCCCGCCCCTTTTGTCCCCCTCTGCCCGGTTTGACTGAGCGCGTGCGGTGGGCGTTCACAGCGGTGTGTCACGTGACAGCGCTGCTATATAAGGGTCTGGACGTAAACAGAGGAGCAGTAGGGGGAGAGACGATCATCGGACCTGGGTTCAACCTGGCCKCCTTTATTCTTCTGTTTTCCTGTTTTTTGTGAGCGAACGGTCCTTTAGACCATAAGAATATTTCTTTCCAACTTCAGCTACAGTGATAGCTAAGTTTGGAAGGGAGGAAAATTAGAAAAAAACGATTTTTTTGTTTGTTTTTTTCCTTATATTTTCTGCCGAAGCTTGAATGCAGAGGGGCTGACCTTTGAAAACAAGGAGAAATTTAAAAACCCTCCAAGTTTTTTTCTCTACAACTTTAAAAATGGATAATACTGCACCGAAGAAGACCTGCTGCGGTGAGTTATTCCTCTAAAAAACACATTTTTTTATAATTATTTACAAAAATATGACAAAAATGATATGTTTTATTTACAGAATCCTTCCAGGATTTCTTCACTTCAGCTAAATTTCTTATTTACATGGGACATGCACTGTCAACATGGGTAAGTAGACATTTATTAATGCATTATTGTGTATTTAAATGACTAAATGCACAATTTAGCTGCATTTTCYAGTTGAAATTTTAGATATAATTTATTGTTATTATAAGTCACTGTGTCATTTATTAGACTAAAACATGGTTTGTGTRTGTGAGAAGAGCTACAGAAGTTAAAACAGTTCATTTAATGAATACTAACTTTTTTAAAAAGTGAAAAATGATGGTTAAAATGGTTTATTAGCAGCAATAGTTGGGGTAAGAGTTGTTTTATGGGGTAAAAATCAGCTTTTTWAAATGTTTTTGTGTTATTTCTGCAGCTGAGATGAATGTTTGAGTAACTGCAGYGAATGTTTCTCTCCAGGGGGACCGGATGTGGAACTTCGCCGTGGCGGTCTTCCTGGTGGAGCTGTACGGGGACAGCCTGCTCCTCACGGCGGTGTACGGGCTGGTGGTGGCCGGCTCCGTGCTCCTGCTGGGCGCCATCATCGGCAACTGGGTGGACAGGAACCCCAGACTGAAAGGTAAGCGTCTGAGACAGGAGCGGGCTGCACGGCGGTCAGGTCTTGGTCTCTAACGTTGGCTCTGATGTCTCCTCAGTGGCCCAGACGTCGCTGCTGGTCCAGAACAGCTGCGTGATCGTGTGCGGCGTGCTCCTCATGCTCGTTTTCCACTTCAAAGAGCAGCTCTCGGTGCTCTACAATGGATGGATTCTGGTAAGACCCCCCCCCTCTGTGCCTCCTCGGCGTGGGCTTTCACTGCGCCTGGCTTTGTGTCGCTCTGACCTCCAAACTTGCTCAACTCAGCTGACAGAGGCTCCTCCATCGACGAGCTTTATGGCTGCAGGAGCAGRATTCACCTCAGACGGACCTTTGGCTGCGCTTCACGTGACTCGGGCTGCTTTTTCTTTAGGTTGTCGCTCTCGTGAGCGAATAAACGAGAATTTACTGGTGAGATTTTGGAGCCGAGGCGTTCGGGAGTGCAGATAAAAGCCATCTGTTTGAGAGGGGACAGAGTTTAGGGTCCCAGCTGGTGTTTGTGGAGAAAACTCCTCTGTGTCAGCAGGTTGTTGTCATGTGACGAAACAACAAAAGTTACCCACTTCTGTTATTTTAACCCCTTTATTTCACCTTTTATTTACAGAATCATCACACAGCTGTTAGGGTCTGAAGTGATAATTATTCACAGACTTTTAGAATCGATTTTTTTTTCTTTTTTAGTTCCAAAGCAAAGCGACAGAGTTTGACCTTTGAGTTTTGTTAAAGTGCTGCTTCTGTTGCCAAATATCCACGTTTCTTTACTTTCAGAACTAAAATACACTAAAGACAAATCAATACATGTAAAATCAGCAAAATGCGACTTTTTGTGGCAAATATATTATTATTAGACATGATTTTATCTCCAGACATCTACATTAATATAATCTGTAGTTTCATATTTTACTTTATACTTTTATTCAAAGATTTTAGCTGATTAAAACATCCAGTTTTTAAGTGTTTCTAAAGCACTCTGTATCAAAGCAAAGCAAGAATTGTTGATTCAGATCTAACAGAAGCTGAAAGTCCTGCTCTTTAAGTTTAAAAAGAAAATGTCCACGTTTTTCTCGCAAAACAACAATTATATATCGCTTTTTTCAGACCATCTCAAATCAGACAAGATCCTGTCCAAGTGCTACATAATAATAATTATGATTTCTTCATAATTATTAAGGTTTTAGCAAATAAAACCTTTGAGTCTGGTAGTTTTTAAGGAATACTTTAGATGTTTTGGTGCAAAATAATCTATAGTTTGTGCTCATGATACCAGGATCAATGCTAACYGACAGAAAACGAGTCGATCCTGTCTAAAGCACTCTACACAAAAGCAAAGCAAGAATGGTTGGTTGTTTCAAATCTGTGGGAAGTTTTAAAAAGTTTCCACGGTAGAAGTAAAGTCTTGAAGGTTTTCGTACGGAAAGTCAAAAGTGCCATAATTCACTGGTTTTAAAAAGGAAAATGTCTGCGTCTTTATCTCAAATTAACGTYAATGTTTTTTTTGTTTCCAGACGGTCTGCTACATTCTGGTCATCACCATAGCCAACATCGCCAACCTGGCGAGCACGGCGACCTCCATCACCATCCAGCGGGACTGGGTGGTGGTGGTGGCGGGTCAGGACAGCAGCAGTCTGGCAGGTGAGCGTTTCTGTTATCAGATCTCCTCTTTCAGAGGGGGAAGGGGGGACTTTGAGCCGCTGCTGCTGACTTGGTCTCGTTTTCCACCTTTATGGCCCTGTTGTTTCCTCCTGATTGTTCTAAGCTGTTTAAAAGATTTACTCCCGCGGCGCCGAACGCTCAGAGCAGCGAACCCGTTGACCCTGAAGCTGTCCTTCGTGTAAAACCATGATGTAAATGTGACAATAAAAAAATAAACCYGTTCCTCCTCGCAGACATGAACGCCACGGTGCGGATCATCGACCAGCTGACCAACATCCTGGCTCCGCTGCTGGTGGGTCAGATCATGGACTTCGGCTCGCACTTCGTCGGCTGTGGCTTCATCTCCGGCTGGAACCTGTGCTCCATGTGCGTGGAGTACGCTCTGCTGTGGAAGGTGTACCAGAAGACGCCGGCTCTGGCCGTGAAGGCCGGACAGAAGGAGCAGCACGAGCTCAAACAGCTGAGCCCACAGAAAGGTACCAGAACCGCTGAGTTCTAGAGAGTTCTGCAGGCTGAACCCGAGCGGGTAAAGCCCAACGATCCTAGCTAAAACAGGAGAAATGGTACACAAGTTTCATAACACTAGCTCAAAACTACAGGTTTCAAAATGCTAACTAAAGTCTAAAGTAGCAGAATGGCAGCTAAACTATGCTGTATAATGCTAACTAGAAGCTAAAAACATCAAATGGCTAGCTAGACATGAAAAGTAATAAGAGGCAAGAAGGTAAAACTAGTAAAAAGCTATCTAAAAGCTAAAWGTGTCAAAAAGGATAGCAGAAAGCTAAACGTATCAAAAATGCTAGCTAATAGCTTAAAGTAGTAAGAGGCTACCTAGAAGCTAAATGTAGTAAGAAGCTAATTAGAAGCTAAAAATAGTTAAGACTAGCTAAAAGATAAAAGTAGCAAAAATGTTAGCTAAAAGCTGAAATAGCAAAAGTTTAGCTAAAAGGTTAATGTAGTGATATTCTAGTAGTAAGAGGCTAACTGGAAGTTAATGTAATAAGACTTTAGCTAGAAGCTAAAAGTAGTAGCATAGCTAAAAGTTAAAAGTAGCAAAAGGCTAGCTAAAAGCTGAAATAGCAAAAGGTTAGCTAAAAGGTTAATGGAGTAATATGCTAACAGGAAGCTAAAGTATCAAAAAAGCTAGCTAGAAGCTAAAAGTAGTAAGAAGCTTGCTAGAAGCTAAAAGCTGTAGAGGCTAGCTAAAAGTACCAAAAGGCTAGCTAAGAAGTAAATGTAGTAAAAAAGCTAGCTAGAAGCTAAAAGCTGTAAAGACTRGCTATAAGCATCAGAAGGCTAGTTGAAAAGTAAATGTAGTAAAAAAGCTAGCTAGAAGCTAAAAGTAGTAGTCTAGCTAAAAGTTAAAAGTAGCAAAATGCTAGCTAAAAGCTGAAATAGCAAAATGTTAGCTAAAAGGTTAATGGAGTAATATGCTAACAGGAAGCTAACGTATCAAAAAGGCTAAGTAGAAGCTAAAAGTAGTAAAGACTAGCTAAAAGCTACAAGTACCAAATAGCTAACTAAGAAGTAAATGTAGGAAGAGTCTAGCAAGATGCTAAAAGCATCAAAAAGTTTAGCTAAAAGCTGAAATAGCTAAAGGGTAGCTAAAAGGTAATGGAGTAATAGGCTGGCAGGAAGCTAGAAGTATCAAAAAGGCTAGCTAATAGCTGAAAGTGGTAAGAAGCTACCTAGAAGCTAAAAGTAGTAAAGACTAGCTAAAAAATACCAGAAGGCTAACTAAGAAGTAAATGTAGGAAGAAGCTAGCTATAGGCTAAACATTAGCTAGCTCAAAGTATGAAGAATAAATACTGAAAGCCTGAGGAGCAATGGACAGCTAAACGGTAAATGTAGTAAAAAAAGCTACCTGGAAGCTAAAAAYAACCAGAGATAAGCTAAAGATGTAGCAGGAAGTGAATGCTAGCTAAAAGCTAATAATGTCTCTGCGGTCCTTCAGATCCTGAGGGCAGTCAGAGTCCCGAGGAGTCGTCTCAGCCTCTGATGAACGAGGCGGCGGTGGTGGTGGTGAAGTCCCTGGACTCGTCCAAGCCTCGCGGCTGCTGCCAGCAGGTGTTGGAGCCGCTGCAGACCCTCAAGTCCGGCTGGGTGTCCTACTACCAGCAGGACATCTTCTTGGCGGGCATGTCCCTGGCCTTCCTCTACATGACGGTGCTGGGCTTCGACTGCATCACCACGGGCTACGCGTACACTCAGGGCCTCAACGGCTCCGTGCTCAGCCTGCTGATGGGCGCCTCCGCCGTCTCGGGGATCTGCGGCACCGTGGCCTTCACCTGGGTCCGCAAGAAGTGCGGCCTGATCCGAACGGGCTTCATCTCGGGCGTGGTCCAGCTGTCCTGCCTCACCATGTGCGTCTTCTCCGTCTTCGCTCCCGGGAGCCCCTTCGACCTCACCGTCTCGCCCTTCCAGGACCTTTACACCCACCTGGTGGGAGGCCAGAGCCTGCCCGAGGCGGACCACGTCCTCACCGGGGTGAACGCCACCACCACGGCGCCGCCGCCGGCCCAGGAGCTGCCTCCTCTGCAGTCCTACATGTCGGTCAGCATGCTGTTTGCTGGCGTCATCGCTGCCAGAGTCGGTGAGTTTTTCACTCATTTAGCTGCTTTAGAATCAGAAAACTTTATTAATCTCTGAGGGAAATTACAGGGATTACAGCTGCAACCGTTCAGATCAGAGACGTGAAAGAAAGGAATAAGCACACTAGAATTAAATRCGTATAAACACCCAGGATTACAAAATAAGCACACTTATGTACACATCAACAATGTACAAAGGGCCTGTGACATCAAATTTTTGTAAAAAACATGAATGTGTTTTTGGAAAGATAACACTGATAACATGTTGTAAAAAAGATTTCACGTCGCTGAGATGGTTGTTGAGATATTTACATGTGAAGAAACAGGAAGTGATGTCAAAGGGGAATGTCTGCATGTAAACAGAGCGTTGTTACAAAGCTAACAACACAGACTGTAGAGAAGAATCTGATGTTTTAGATTATTTTGAGTTTCTATCAAAGACATGAAGAAGAGTTAAAGTTTAAATAATTTGTTTTAATAAACAAAGACCAGAGAGTTTATTTTATTAATGAGTTCCCCTTTGATGTCACTTCCTGTTTCACTTTGAGCCAAATTTAGAAGAAAATAGGCCAGTTATGTGACAAAATGGGTAAAATCATGTGTTTTATCAATCTTCTTAAGTTGAAAGAAGTTTTCTTTGACTTTTTGAACTTGAAGGATAGACATGTCTCAGGCTGTTTAAGAAAATGTGTACAGAGATGTTTGGTACATTGCGCATGTTTAATGAGTGTCATGGGTAAAATACAGTAAATTAAATATCAAATAAAGACTAAAAATATTAAAAATGTACAGATGATATATTAAGCTAAAGCTAGCTCCTCACAGCTGCTGTAGGCAGAAATGTTTGGCTCCAGAGAAACATCAGTAGTTTGATTACATCACTCAGGTTGGACTTTTGTTTTCTCAGACTGTGTCTCCACCCCGGACGTGAGTCTAAGCTGTATTTGAGACCTTTGAGTCCAATAATGTTTCCTGCTTGTCTCTGCGCAAACTGGCTGTAAATCCTCACCAGGTGTGTGTCTCGTGTCTCCCTGCAGGTCTGTGGTCCTTCGACCTGACCGTGACCCAGCTCATCCAGGAGAACGTCATCGAGTCGGAGCGCGGCGTGATCAAYGGCGTCCAGAACTCCTTGAACTACCTCTTAGACCTGCTGCACTTCATCATGGTGATCCTGGCCCCCAACCCGGAGGCCTTCGGCCTGCTGGTCCTCATCTCCGTGTCCTTCGTGGCCATGGGTCACATGATGTACTTCCGTTTCGCCTTCAAGAGCCTGGGCAGCCGCCTGTTCCTCTGCTGCTCGCCGGAGCAGAAGGTGGAGGAGGAGGGCGGCCCCTCGCTCCCCACCACCGTCTAACGCCGTTAAAGAGACTGTTCTGTTCCAGGTACAAGCCCGSCCGGCCTGACCCTGTATCTTATGCCCCTTTTCCACTAGTACCAGTTCACGCTTTTCCATTAGGCCAGTTTCATGRAACCAGCCCTTTATTTAGTGCCTACTTCATTGTGGTTCCAAGCTGCTCGCACGACTCGCAACGAAACAGTGTTCAAAGAGTTGTCGGAGCTGATGGCCACTCGTGGCTACGAGAGAACCCCGAAGCAGTGTCGGGACAAACTGAAARGGTTGAAGTGCGATTACGGCACGATTGAGGACCACAATGGAAGGAGCGGTTCAAACYGGTTCAAACCCACTGCTACGYTTAATGGTTGCCTACAAACATCATTACAATCACCTTCAGGCAAATACGTGATGACAATTTTCGGACTGTGGAAATGTCCAAAACACACCCACTGGAACCGGACTGGAACGTCAATGGAAAAGCACCCGATTTGACCCATTCCGACACTGACCGTACCAACACTGACCGTACCAACACAGACCGTACCGACACAGACTGTTCCGACACAGATGTACCTACACTGACCGTTCCGACATAGACCGTACCGACACTGACCGTTCCGACACAGACGTATCTACACTGACCGTTCCGACATAGACTGTACCGACACTGACCGTTCCGACACAGACGTATCTACACTGACCGTTCCGATGTAGACCGTTCTGACACAGACGTACCGACACAGATGTACCTACACTGACCGTTCCGACATAGACGTATCTACACAGACCGTACCGACACCGACTGATCCGACACAGATTGTTCCGACATAGATGTACCTACACTAGGGTTGGGCATAATCGTATCGTGTGCAATTAATCGTCAGAAAAACGATTATTTTTTGGCACTTGACGATTAATACGATTTATGCCACCCGGCAGACRGACTGGAGATTTCAGTCCACTCGGTGCTCCTCTCCACTTCAAATGTGATGAAAAATTTTTTTAAAAGGTGTGTAATTTATTTATCMATCAACAAAATTTAAMATTTGATATATAGCCTGAAGTCTGTAATTTTGACACAATTCGGAACAGGTTTGTATGAAGAGCAAATCTTTCCCACTTAATTGGTCATGTGACTATGGCATGAGGGTGTCCAGGAACTCCAGGRGATTAATCGTCAAATTAATCGTTATCGGCTAAATACCACAATTAATCGTGATTAATTTTTTTGCCAATATTGCCCAACCCTAACACTGACCGTTCCGACACAGACTGTTCAACACAGATGTACCGACACTGACCGTACAGACACAGATGTACCGACACTGACCGTACCGACACAGACTGTACCGACACTGACCGTACCGACACAGACTGTTCCGACACAGATGTACCGACACAGACTGTTCCAACACAGATGTACCGACACTGACCGTACCGACACAGATGTACCGACACTGACCGTACCGACACAGATGTACGACACTGACCGTACCGACACAGACTCTGACCGTACCGACACAGACCGTTCCGACACAGACCGTACCGACACAGACTGTGACTGTTCCGACACAGACCGTACCGACACAGACCGTACCGACACAGACCGTTCCGACACAGACCGTACCGACACAGATCGTTCCGACACTGACCGTACCGACACAGACCGTTCTGACACTGACCGTACCAACACAGACCGTTCCGACCCTCACCGTACCGACACAGACTGTTCCAACACAGATGTACCGACACAGACTGTACCGACACTACACTAGGGGGCAATAGTGGAAAAGGGGCGTTATTTACCCAACTAACACCGCAGCTTCGTAGGATCCTGATGCTAACCACTGCTAGCCTACTAGCTTGTAGCAGAAACCTGGTAGTGTAATTTTAGAAGGCGGGGCTTTGCTCATTAACACGCGTAGTCTCACCGTATCATCTTCTCCCGTTAGCCCCGGTCGAGCCGGAGGGCGCTCTGGCGTACGGGCGGGTCAAACGGTGGAGAAGTMAGGGAACGGGTGGCCGAGGCTGGTGTGGGCGGCTTGTTGTTTTTAACCAAACACACAACGAGTCTCTTTAACGGTGATGAGGGTTACATTAATTCTATTTATTCTCAGACGGTGTTTTGTTTTTGTACRGACTCAGCAGTATTGTGTCTTCTTCTTGTGCCATAAGAAACAAACCCTCTGGAGGCCACGGTGGCAACGCTCAGTTACCAAAGCCCACCTGCGCCGAGGCTCCAGAGGAAGTGAGGGAACCGGTTCTGTTCGCAGCATTCCAGGACGTTCAAACAACCCAACCCTCTTTACTCTGTGATTTCTTTCAGTGATTTTTACTTCTCTTCCTGTCGTGATTGTCGTTACTCAGGCACTTTAAAGCGATCGGTCATTGCTCACAGATAATGCGTGATCAGGCACWAGAGTTCAATAGTTTTGCACATCAACCCCCCTCCTCGCCCGCCTGTCTCGCTCACGTGACAGGTTTGTGGTTTCAAACGAGGCACAAAATGCTCAGCATCACGTGTTCAGGTGGGGGTCGCTTTACTTTGGAAAAACTCGTTTCCTCAAACGAAGCCCAGCCAACGTCTAAGTCAGCAAAAAAAACAAAGAAACCTTGAACAGACGATGGTTGAGTCTGTGTTGCTTTAAAAATGTAGATTTTTAGGGATTTGGAGTCAAAACTCGGTGCTACAGTCAGACTTCTGTAATCGTTAAAGTCCATCAAACCGAGCTGCTTTCACCGCCTCAAACGGTTGTTTTTACTCATTTAACTGGAGCCTTGTTTTGCCCGTTTGACTCGTGGTTCAGAGTCGAAAAGCTTCAACAAACAAACAAAAAAAATCCATCTATTGATTAAAACCACTYTAAAAGATTACAGTCTGACTTCTCGAAGTGAAAACAAAAAGACTTCAGCGAACTTTAGCACAGTTTGTGGCTCGTTTCTTGACATTTAAATTAAAATGTTAAAGTTTTAATGGAAGCTGCAGACCAGGTTAAAGATGATGTTTTGTTTTTAAGTTCAGGAACCTGCTGGTCGACGCATTAAAAGAGTTCAGGAACACGATGGTAAACTTTGTTTTAAATGTAGAAATCCATCTTTAATGCAGAAAATAAATGAATAAATGTACTGTAATGTTGTTCGTTTTGAAAATATTTTAAGTGTTTTTGTATCAAGTTTGAGATTTTATTGGAAATTTCTGCCTTTTATCTGAATATACCTGCTTTAATCTTTAAATGCGTGTGTGTGTGTGTGCGTGTGTGAACATACAGTATTGTAGTTTCCGTAGGCAGAGGCTTTAAATCACGCTGCTTTTTGTGTAGAAATCACACTCCAGTAGAATTGAGGATGTTGTAAATGCTTCTGTTGTGTGTAATTTTTGAATTAAAAAGAATTTGCAACAACTTTCCTGTTGTGTGTGTGTGTGTATTGGTGTGTGTGTATGTGTGTATTGGTGTGTGTGTGTATTGGTGTGTGTATGTGTATGTGTATTGGTGTGTTGGGTTCAGAGGTCACATACCTCAGCAGCTCAGACCACCATCACAGTGTTTCAGTAATTTTAAGGTTTCAAAYGTCGACACGTTTACAGAAGTAAAACCAGCAGCAGAAGCTTCATCCTTGCTGTGTTTCCGCTCCGACGTCGTGTTTGAAGCCGAAGCTAAAAACTTTTAACAGCACAAACTGTTCGGAGGTGAAGGACTTGTAGAAGTTTAATGACTCAGGTTCTGATTTTTTTTAAAAAGCTGCTGACTTTGGACAAAGTCCAACGTCTTGCAGGCAGAAGGAGATAAGTCTCCAGAGGTTTGTTCTTAACAAGCAGATATTTTAATTAATAAGCACAAAGAGTGAAAAAAAAAACATATGAAAGCATTTAAAGTTGTTTTAAATGTGTTAAATTAGTTTTTAGTTGCAATAAGCTTAAATATTTAAAGTGCTTTCTTAAAATGTGAACTTTGTTATTAATTGTTGTGTAGAGATAATAATAGTTTACAGCAGCAACATGAATAAATGTAAGGTTTTTGTTCTTGGAGGTTTATCAGATCAATAAAAGCGGCAGGGACACTCTGATAAGCACGTCTGGTTTGACCCAGATCGATCCGAACAAAGAGCTGCAGCCAAATAAAACTGACACAACAGAACCACCAGAGGCTCAGCTGGGCCAGAACCAGGTCTTACCCGGGCCTGGAGGAAAGTGACCATAAAGAAACCAGAGAGGAAGTGAAAAATGCTGAAGAAAAGCTGAGTTTTGATTCGAGCCTGGAAACAAAACGTGACTTTATGAACAGAAGTTTAAAAAGCTTACTCTGAACTTTAGCTCTGCAGAACCTGGTCTGACCCGCAGCAAAAACACCAGAACCACATCTACTGAATAAAGAAACACAAAGTTAAAAAAAATACTTGAGTGAAAAAGTTTGACAGTTGAAATTAAGCTAAGACAAGCAGAAGTTTCTAAAAGCTAATAGTAGTAAAACCGATACTGAAAGCTAGATGAAACAGAAAGTTTGCTAAAAGCTAACTGCAGCAAATTGTTGCTAAAAACTAAATGCAGCAGATTGTGGCTAAAAGCTAACAGCAGTAAATTGTTGCTAAAAGCAGCAAAATATTGCTAAAAGCTAACTGCAGCAAATTGGTGCTAAAAGCTAACTGCAGCAAATTGGTGCTGTTGCTAAAAGCTAAACGCAGCAGATTGTGGCTAAAAGCTAACTGCAGAAGTTTTTGCTAAAAGCTAAATGCAGCAGCGCTGTTGCTAAAAGCTAAATGTAGCAGAGCATTTGCTTAAAGCTGTATGTAGCAAATTGTTGCTAAAGGCTAAATGCAGATAAATGCAAATAAGCTAATGTAGCAAAACCTTAACCTAGAATTAGCAAACCCATAATTAAAAACTTAAATAAAAAGCAACTAAAAGCTAAATGTAGCTTAACTGTATCAAAAAATGAGCTAAATTGTACTATTCTTACACTATACTTGTTATAAACTATTCTTAACTTTTCTACTGAAAGCTAAATAAACTAAACCTAAAAACAATACATGTAGCCAAAAGCATGACTCAGCACTTTGTTTCATTTAAACTCTGAAATAAAAGCTAAAGTTTAGAAAACAGGAGTTTTATTAAATATTAATGATAAAAAAAATAAGCCGGCACAAAGGTTAACAATTTGAAATAAGTTTCAGTTGATGAAAAAAGAAAAAGTTTGTAGTAAAATAATTTTTAATTATTTCCAGAGGATGAAAACGGAGCTTTTTCAACAAACTCTGATTTTATCAGAAACAATAAAAACTGATTTATTAGTTTGAAAAATCTGCAGGAAAAATGAAAAATGATCAATCTCGTGAAGAGAGATTTATTTTCCAGTAACTGCAGAAGCAAACGGTGAAGGTTCTGAGGTTCTGGTGACCAGAACCAGAATCATGTAACATGAAACAGGTCCGGTTGGAGCCACAGCAACAGAACAGTTTCTGTATTTAGTCCAGGAGGCCTGCGAGCCAGCTGTGGTCCAGTCTCCTCACCCTCCTCAGGGCTCGAACCTGAGCTCTGGTCAGGGTGGGGTCCGGGCCTCCTGACTCCTGGGCCCCCATCAACTCCTGATCTGGTCTCAAGATCCCAGTCTCAGTTTCCTGGTCCGAATCTTCTTCCTCTTTCTCACTCTCCATTTCCTCCTGYGAGCGCTTGTCCTCCCTGAACCCAGGAGAGCGTTCGTGGAAGGAGAAAAACAGAAAGAGGTTACCATGACTCAGCAGGTTTTAAAGATAAACAACTCCTGTTTCCTACAAACTGCTGACTCACAGGAAGCTCCGGTTTCGGCAGCTTGTTTTCCTCAAGTCACGCTGACTATTTTTACCCTCGACTGAACTCGGTGAAACAAAAACAAACTTTTGATAAATAAAATAAAGTTTTCCCTGCCAACAGCTAAACTTTCAGCTGAGGAGAAACGAGGGCTGCATCAGGACTTTTGCACGCGTCAGACCACTGACCTGGTGTCCGTGACGGAGACGAGCAGCGACTTGACGAAGGCGGAGCACAGGAAGGAGGTGGAGGGGAGGACGTGGGCCGGGGTCTGCAGGAGCTGCAGGACAGAGGAGGTGCGTCAGGTGAAGGAGCTTCTGCTGAAACAACGAGCCAATCAGAACTCACCTCTTTAACGGCTGCAGAGCTGTGAGGAAGAGGAGCAGCTCTGTCGAACAACGGGCCGCTCGCCGCCGCCTCCGGACGCCGATGTTTCCCCAGCAGCAGGTAGAACGGCGTCATGGCGACGGTGTCGTCAACGAGGAGCTGAGGAGACACGAGGTCGACCCGTTTGAGACGTCACGCTTTTCAAAATACAACTTCCTGTTTGACAGGAAGTCCTCTGAAGGTTTTATGACRTGTCTGATAACGACGAGCATTTCAAAGAAAGTCACCTGCTTATTTGCAGCCATCAGCTTTTCTTCTTCTGCTCTGGTGCTGAACGTCAGCAGGTCCTGCAGGAGGAAGCATAGACGCTGTAAACAAGCTGTAAACAAGCTGTAAACAAGCTGTAAACAAAGTAATGTCTACAGAAAAACAGCAGCAGCCTGCGCTGATGTAGCTGTCACAAAAACATGTGTAATGGTCATGAAGAGAGATTTATTTGTTATGGATTGATGATCATCTGTATTTAACATTGTCTTTACATTAAATTATTAATTTTTTTTTAAAATTTTTGAACTGTTTACAAAATAACTTGTTTTCGATGGAAGAAAGACCTGTCAGCTCAGTGATGTCAGTACAGTCAGCTTGTTAGCACAGTTAGCATGTTAATACAGTCAGCTTGTTAGCACAGTTAGCATGTTAATACAGTCAGCTTGTTAGCACAGTTAGCATGTTAATACAGTCAGCTTGTTAGCACAGTTAGCATGTTAATACAGTCAGCTTGTTAGCACAGTTAGCA